ATATAGGCAGCAAAACACTTTCCATAATCATAAACCATTCCTGTTAAAAGAAACATTTGTACTATGCCGACCCACCAATGATTCGATCACGATTCCAATAAAAGGTATTTCAAACTGTTCCCTTCTTCTCAAGAATCCTTACTTCACTGCTTCCGTTTTCTTATGGGTAAATAGTTCTTAATTTCTCGCTTTCTCGACTCTGTCACCATGGGGTAGCATGTTGACCTATGATGGCAATAGTGAAATGTTCTTAATTACTGATTTATTTGTTTTAAAAATGTACGCTTATGAGCTTTCAATGTAATTTCCAAAATCAACTTGATCAAAAGGAGTTATAAAAAAATGTTTGCAATAATTTTTCATAAAGGATTCCATTCCTTTTGTCCAAAGATTAATAATGCTCACAGAAGTCTAATATGTAACTTTAAAGTGATTAAATCTGACGGTATTTTAGGGAGCGTGTGTATGTGTAACGTTTGTCTGCATGATATACATAATTTCCAACGCTCACACATTTAGCCTAAAAATAGAATGGTAGTCACGCCACACTGTCAACCAAGTCATCAAGTAAGACCACGCCACGCTGTCAACCAAGTCATCAAGTATCTCCACGAAACAGTTATCAAACATGACCACGTCAAATTATCAAAATATTAAGAGGTAAAACAACGCCGTATCGTCAGCGAAAATATAAAGCAAAAACACTATCAACCTAGTCATTACGCATGACCATGCCACACTATCAGCAAAGCCATCAATCCTGACCACCACCACGTCATCAAGCATGACCACATGGCACTGTCAACTATGTCATACAGAATGACCACACAACACTATAAACACTATAAAGTCATCAAACATAACCACATTATACTTTCAACCAAGTTAGCAAGCCTGGCCAAGCCACACTATCAACCATGTCACAGAGAATGACCATCAAACAAATCAGCAAGCATGACGATGCCACACTATGAACCAAGTCATCAAGCATGACCACACATCAACAACGCTATCAAACATTATCAACCATATCATCTAGCATGGCCATGCTAAAGTATCGTAACACGTAACACGATCAATTAACTTATCAAGCATGACCACATCACACTATCAACGAGGTCATCAAGCATGACCACACTATGAACCAAGTTCTCTAGCGTGACCACACCACACTATCAAAGAGGTCATCAAGCATGACCACACTATCAACCAAGTTATCTAGCGTGACCACACTACACTATCAACGAGGTCATCAAGCATGACCACACTATCAACCAAGTTATCTAGCGTGACCACACCACACTATCAACGAGGTCATCAAGCATGACCACACTATCAACCAAGTTATCTAGCGTGACCACACCACACTATCAACGAGGTCATCAAGCATGACCACACTATCAACCAAGTTATCTAGCGTGACCACACCACACTATCAACGAGGTCATCAAGAATGACCATAATATCAACCACGTTATCTAACGTGACCACACAACACTATCAACGAGGTCATCAAGCATGACCACACTATCAACCAAGTTATCTAACGTGACCACACCACACTATCAACGAGGTCATCAAGCATGACAACACTATCAACCAAGTTATCTAACGTGACCACACCACACTATCAACGAGGTCATCAAGCATGACCACACTATCAACCAAGTTATCTAGCGTGACCACACCACACTATCAACGAGGTCATCAAGCATGACCACACTATCAACCAAGTTATCTAGCGTGACCACACCACACTATCAACCAAGTTATCTAACGTGACCACACCACACTATCAACGAGGTCATCAAGCATGACCACACTATCAACCAAGTTATCTAGCGTGACCACACCACACTATCAACGAGGTCATCAAGCATGACCACACTATCAACCAAGTTATCTAACGTGACCACACCACACTATCAACGAGGTCATTAAGCATGACTACAATATCAACCAAGTAATCTAGCGTGACCACACTACACTATCAACGAGGTCATCAAGCATGACCACACTATCAACCAAGTCATCTAGCGTGACCACACTACACTATCAACGAGGTCATCAAGCATGACCACACTATCAACCAAGTTATCTAGCGTGACCACACCACACTATCAACGAGGTTATCAAGCATGACTGCACTATCAACCAAGTTATCTAGCGTGACCACACCACACTATCAACGAGGTCATCAAGCATGACCACACTATCAACCAAGTTATCTAACGTGACCACACCACACTATCAACGAGGTCATCAAGCATGACTACAATATCAACCAAGTTATCTAGCGTGACCACACTACACTATCAACGAGGTCATCAAGCATGACCACACTATCAACCAAAGCATTATCTATCTAGCGTGACCACACCACACTATCAACGAGGTCATCAAGCATGACCACACTATCAACCAAGTTATCTGGCGTGACCACACCACACTATCAACGAGGTCATCAAGCATAACCACACTATCAACCAAGTTATCTAACGTGACCACACCACACTATCAACGAGGTCATCAAGCATGACCACACTATCAACCAAGTTATCTAGCGTGACCACACAACACTATCAACGAGGTCATCAAGCATGACCACACTATCAACCAAGTTATCTAGCGTGACCACACCACACTATCAACGAGGTCATCAAGCATAACCACACTATCAACCAAGTTATCTAACGTGACCACACAACACTATCAACGAGGTCATCAAGAATGACCACACTATCAACCAAGTTATCTAACGTGACCACACCACACTATCAACGAGGTCATCAAGCATGACCACACTATCAACCAAGTTATCTAGCGTGACCACACTACACTATTAACGAGGTCATCAAGCATGACCACACTATCAACCAAGTTATCTAACGTGACCACACCACACTATCAACGAGGTCATCAAGCATGACCACACTATCAACCAAGTTATCTAGCGTGACCACACCACACTATCAACGAGGTCATCAAGCATGACCACACTATCAACCAAGTTATCTAGCGTGACCACACCACACTATCAACGAAGTCATCAAGCATGACCACACTATCAACCAAGTTATCTAGCGTGACCACACCACACTATCAACGAGGTCATCAAGCATGACCACACTATCAACCAAGTTATCTAGCGTGACCACACCACACTATCAACGAGGTCATCAAGCATAACCACACTATCAACCAAGTTATCTAGCGTGACCACACCACACTATCAACGAGGTCATCAAGCATGACCACACTATCAACCAAGTTATCTAGCGTGACCACACCACACTATCAACGAGGTCATCAAGCATGACTACACCGCGCTATCAAGCATGACCATGAAACACTATCAATCAAGTTATCAAGCATGACCACGCCATATTGTCAACGAAGTCATCAAGCATGACCACGCCATATTGTCAACGAAGTCATCAAGCATGACAACGCCACACGTCAACCAATCATTCAAGCAGGACCACCCGATCCTTGAAGTAAGTGCCAGTCAGTGAGGAGATGTGAAACCAAAAGGTCGAGGTATGGGAACTAATCTCTGAAGCCGATGTTATGTCGCTCTCCATGAAGTGTAAAAAGACGTTTTAAAAATTCTCTCCATTGATCCAGAGATGACATTCAATATCGATAATAATATTCTTTCACCTCTGTGTGAGCATGTTTTGTTTTTGTTTTCACATCTGGTGGATAAATGAGGTGAGAATCCTAACTTATCTTGACGTTGTTCAAAACAACCAGGACATCTTCAGACCTGAATCTGTCTTGGCAACGCTTCATATCGTTTGGTCAACCAAAATAGTTAAATGCCCATGAAAACATATCATATCACCAAACCTGACTAAGATGTTGCCAGTAAACTCGTATATCAGGCATTTCTAAGAATGGTTTCAGCTTTATCAAAACCAACATCCATACACAATTGTAAGAAAGTCAGATTTTAGACTAAAATTCTTGGAAACAAAACCCGAATTCCACAACTAAGTGAAACCCAGTCAGTTGATGTCAATGACCTAATACTGAGACTGTTGTGGCGCGCCACTAGTACTTACAATATAAAATGCAAGCAATCACAATTAAAATTTAAACTAATTGCAAGATTTTATGGATTATGACTTGCTTCATGATGATTGTAGCGATGTCAGATTCAGTGGAGATATGTATGCGCGGCGACAGTGACGACTCACGACGGCGGGCATCCGTGCACTATGTCATCACACACAACAGGTGATCGTAGCCTACAAACAGGCCGCCATACATACACGTGCACATTTCAATAAAGAGGATTTATTGTGTAATGAATACATTAAACTGGTGTACGTTCTGACCATGGATACGTCTGTACAACTGTTTCTCTACCGAATCGAGACTCCCATACCACGACAGGCACAGGGATTCGTACATAGACGTGTTTTTTTCTGTTACTGAACCACTATCAACATATGATAACATTTGCCAAAAGGACACATATGACCATGTCATAATTGTAATGTGATCCTACTTCCGTAGTAAGAACTACGTCACCCACACTTAAAACTAACATCTATAAACAAACATAATAACATTTCTGGCTGAATACGTGGACAGACATACCACCGTCACAATGAGAACTAGGCGACTGTATTTCACATCATAGGCAAACAATAGAACTGTCAATAAAGTCATTGAATGATGTTAACAATATCCACATACAATGTAAACATGGGATTCTCCAGCCTGTATAGAATGTGGGCATCACCGTATCGAATGCAAATAATTCCCTGTTAGTTGGTAGAGAATACTGACAACCAACCGTTAGTTAAATATCAGATCATACTATTGTCTCTGTGTCCTTCCTTAGTTGGTAGAGAATACTGACAACCAACCGTTAGTTAAATATCAGATCATACTATTGTCTCTGTGTCCTTCCTTAGTTGGTAGAGAATACTGACAACCAACCGTTAGCTAAATATCAGATCATACTATTGTCTCTGTGTCCTTCCTTAGTTGGTAGAGAATACTGACAACCAACCGTTAGAAAAATATCAGATCATACTATTGTCTCTGTGTCCTTCCTATGTCAGACAGATTATATTTACAATAATCATGGTTTCCGTAATATCAGAAATATGATATCTTCAGGAAAAACACCACTGTTGTAATGATGAACAGCATGAAAAACAAAAAGAAGAAAATCCTGCTCATCATTCTGCTGACTCGCTTCCAGGTCATTGGTGGTGGATTCCATGATTCATTCGACTTCTTGTCCAGTGACAGGATCTCCGTACTTCCAACAGCAGGAGTGCCAAAGATGCATCTCTCCCAGGACCTTGTCATACGTCCCATCCACGACGGAACAGGTTTGATGGCTGCGTCCCGATGGAACACTTGAACGGTCCAGATGGTCAGGAACACGTAGAGAGAGCTCATGATAAACAGGCCAACAAGAAAGATAGTAAACACAGGTATACTGTCAGCGTTCTGTGGCAGCAGTCCAGTGACGAAGGATAGGGATACAGTGAAAGATAGCAACACCGTGATGGCAAAGGACACCTTCTCTCCAGACTCCACAGGAATGAGGAACACCACCACATTCACTAATCCCAGCACCAGGATAGGCAGGAGAGTTGTCAGTATCGCCAAAGATGGCTTTCTCTTCAGGCTCATTTTGTAGTGTACCCAAGGATAATAGCTGCCACTGTGTCCAAGGACAAGTCTTGATGCAGATGTGTTGGTGATATCCCATTGGCTGTTGGAGTCAAACAAATTTAATCCTATAGAGTTATTAGTCGGTCTTAAATCAACTTCTTTCAGACTAGTTCTCCAATCAAACGTCTTATAGGTACACTCCTGTTCATCCAAAGGAAAGTTGGTAACATCCATTTGGCAGAAAGTCTTGAAGGTATCGCCAGGTGACCAAGTCACAATTCCTTCGGCGGTCACTTTAATGACACCAAAGTCGAGTCCCAGAGGTTCAGCGTCAACCACCTGGTTTCGAATTGCAATATAAGGTCTCCAAACCTTCCCATAGTCAGGATTTATTTCATTGATACCTCCATACTCGCTGACGTTCCAGGTTAGAAACTCATCTTTCCAGGAAACTAAGAAAAACCCATTGGCTGTCACTGTCTGAGTAACTTCATCAAAATCAGATATGCTGAGAAGGTGAAGTTCCAATGAGACCGTGATAGAGTCACTGCTGTTCTTGACTGGTCTGACATTTGGGTTGTTGTTTCTGATGATGTCATTGTGTAGTCGAAGTACATGGTGGTCGTCCTGACCTCTAGATGTCCCCAGGAACAACAGTAGACACAGTCCACATGTCACTCCCTTGAGGTGACCCACCCCTCGCTCTGTGAACAGCCCCAACACGTACATCCTCTGCCTTGTACTTCAACAGCAATGGGCGTATCCCGTTAGGCTATGAGGCAGTAGTGCGCATTTAACCAAACACCAACTCGGGGTGACGGCACAATTAACGGCAAAATCGTTTTTAGTGTACTGATCGTATTGCCAAATTGTGATTGATTATGGATTACAAAGAATAGCAAACAGAAACCTTTCAGTGATGCATTAATGCATTGACGCCTGCAGGCTATACAGTAATTGACACAGACAAAAACCGTTCACAAAATGTTGAAAATGTGACCGTTACTATAAAAACTCATTAATGAAAACAAAGAGTTTTAGATCAATAATCTGTCTCTTTCTCTCTAGTTCTAGTACATATCCCACACGCCGTTTACAATATTTATTAAGCATGCACAGTGCAATTCCACCCGGGATGTGAGCTCTCCTGCCTACATCTCTACACAATAATTTGTATAATGTCACCTTTTAGAGTGAGAGTTGTCTGACATGACAATAAAATATAGGCAGCAAAACACTTCCATGATCATAAAACATCGCTATTAAAAGAAACATTTGTTCTATGCCGTCCCACGAATGATTCGATGCCGATTCCTAAGAAAGGTTTTTCAAACTGTTCCCTTCTTCTCAAGCACCCTTACTTCACTGCTTCCGTTCTCTTATGGGTCAGTTGGTCTTACTTTCTCGCGTTCTCGTCTTTTGTTATGTCTCAGTCACCATGGGGTCGCATGTAGACCTACGATGTAAATGATGAAATGTTCTTACCATTCGCTCAAATATATTACTATCAAAAACCAACTTTATTTCTTTTCTAAATGTACTCTTATTAGCTTTAAATTGAATTTCAAAATACAGAGCTGCTATCATAGTGTTTTCGTTGTTGATAAGTTTTGTGCCACTATTAATGGCAATATAAAATGCATGCAATCACGATTAAGATTTAAACTAACAAGTTTTATGGATTATGACTTATTTTATTATGATTGTAGCGATGTCAGATTCAGTGGGGATATGTATGTGGAGCGACAGTGACGACTCACGACGGCGTGCATCTGTGCACGATGTCATCACGCACAACAAGTGAACGTAGCCTACAAAACAGGCCGTCATACATACACGTGCTCGTCTCAATAAAGAGGATTTATTGTGTAATGAATACATTAAACTGATGTACGTCCTGACCATGGATACGTCTGTACAACTGTTTCTCTACCGGATCGAGACTCCAATACTACTATTGTACTCCCATAATCGTATTGTTTTTCTATTACAAAACGACTATCAGCACATTGTAAGGTTGTCACAGGGACACATATAACCATGCCATACTTGTAATGAGGGGGGTGGGTACTACTTCAGAAGTAAAAGGACCGGTGGAGTAGCCTGCTGGGTAAAGCGTTCGCTCGTCACGCCAAAAACACGGGTTGGATTCCCCACATTAGTACAATGTGTGAAGCCCATTTCTGGTGTCCCGAGTCGTGATATTGCTGAAACAGTGCTAAAACCAGCGTAAACCATACTCACTCATTCAGAAATAAGAACTACGTCACGCACACTTAAAACAAACACCAACAAACAAATATAATAACATTTATGCCTGATTCCGTGGACAGAAACATAACAATGAAGATGAGAACTGGACGACTGACACATCAATAGGCAAACAATAGAACTGTTAATAGCGTCATTGAATGATGTCTGCAATATTCACAGATGTAATTCTCCAGCTCTACCAATTTGGGCATCATCCTATGCGGTAGGGGTGGAGTTGGGGATAGGGGCCAGGATGCCAGTAACCTGTATATTTACAGTTAATTGGTGGAGTAAGTATAATATTATCCTTTTGTCTTCATCTCGTTTGGTTACCGATGTCAAACAGTTACATTTAGAGTAATCATCGATTACATCGTTATGTCAGAGATTTGATATCTTCAGAAATCCACACACTGTTGCAATGATGAACAGCATGAAAACCAAAAAGAAAAATATCCTGCTCATCATTCTGCTGACTCGCTTCCAGGTCATTGGTGGTGGATTGCACGATTCATTCGACTTCTTGTCCAGTGACAGGATCTCCGTACCAACAGCAGGAGTGCCAAAGATGCATCTCTCCCAGGACCTTGTCAAACGTCCCATCCACGACAGAACAGATCTGATGGTTTCGTCCCGATGGAACACTTGCACGATCCAGATGGTCAGGAACACGTAGAGAGAGCTCATGATAAACAGGCCAACAAGAAAGATAGTAAACACAGGTATACTGTCACCGTTCTGTGGCAGCAGTCCAGTGACGAAGGATAGGGATACAGTGAAAGACAGCAACACCGTGATGGCAAAGGACACCTTCTCACCAGAATCCACAGGAATGAGGAACACCACCACATTCACTAACCCCAGCATCAGGACAGGCAGGAGAGTTGTCAGTATCGCTAAAGATGGCTTTCTCTTCAGGCTCAGCTCGTAGTATACAAAAGGAATATATATGCCACTGGTTTCAAAGACAACCCTTGACGCAGATGTTTTGATGATATCCCATTGGCTGTTGGCGTTGAACAAATTTAATCCTATAGAGTTATTAGTCGGCCTTAAATCAACTTCTTTCAGACCATTTCTCCAGTCAAACGTCTTATATATACACTCCTGTTCATCAAGAAAGGAAAGTTGGTAACATCCATTTGGCAGAAAATCTTGAAGGTATCGCCAGGTGCCCATGTTACAATTCCTTCGGCGGTCACTTTAATGACCCCAAAGTCGAGACCCAGAGGCTCAGCATCAACCACCTGGTTCCGGATTGTGATGTAAGGTCTCCAAACATTCCCATAGTCAGGATGTATTTCACTGATTCCTCCATATTCACTGGCGTTCCAACTTTTTTAATTTTAGGACATAAATTCTGCAAACAAATTACAGAGTTGGTCTGACGTCTTGATTATGATCAGTGTTTCATTGAGTATTTTATGTTTATTAGTTTTCGAGTTAGATTCCAATTCATCAGTCCGCTTTTTAGCCAAACGGACTATAATAATATTTTATAAAGGTTTCCATTCCTATTGACCAAGGATGTTTGACGCTCTCGGAAATATACAATCATAATAATCATTATCAATGTCATTCCTAAATCGGACAAGCGCGAAGAAACATACTCCATCAAATTCATGTCAGACTTGTCATTAAAGGGAAACATCACCCCAACTTTCAAGGTATTGAATAATGGAAAGGGCTTATAGTCTATATTCTGGATTAACTTGTATTTGACTTGCTTTCGTTGCGCTGCTACAATCGGAGAACGGAAGAAAGAATAACCGGGTAACATGACAAATTAAAAAGAAAATCGTCAGGAATGACCACGCCACACGGTAAACCAAGTCATCAATCATGACCATGCCGAAAGATATACCAAGTCATCAATCATGACCACGCAACGCTATCAACCAAGTCATCAATCATGACCACGCAACGCTATCAACCAAGTCATCAAGCCTGACCATGCCACACTATCAACCAAGTCATCAACCCTGATCACGCCAAGTCATCCAAGTCATCAAGCCTGACCATGCCACACTATCAACCAAGTCATCAAGCCTGACCATGCCACACTATCAACCAAGTCATCAAGACTGACCATGCCACACTATCAACCAAGTCATCAAGCCTGACCATGCCACACAATCGATCAAGTCATATAGCCTGACCATGCCACACAATCGATCAAGCCATCAAGCCTGACCATGCCACACTATCGACCAAGTCATATAGCATGACCATGCCACACTATCAGTCAAGTCATCAAGCCTGACCATGCCACACTATCGACCAAGTCATATAGCATGACCACGCCACACTATCAACCAAGTCATCAAGCCTGACCATGCCACACTATCAACCAAGTCATCAAGCCTGACCATGCCACACTATCGACCAAGTCATATAGCATGACCATGCCACACTATCGACCAAGTCATATAGCATGACCATGCCACACTATCAACCAAGTCATCAAGCCTGACCATGCCACACTATCAACCAAGTCATATAGCATGACCATGCCACACTATCAACCAAGTCATATAGCATGACCATGCCACACTATCAACCAAGTCATATAGCATGACCATGCCACACTATCAACCAAGTCATATAGCATGACAATGCCACACTATCGACCAAGTCATCAAGCCTGACCATGCCACACTATCAACCAAGTCATATAGCATGACCTTGCCACACTATCAACCAAGTCATATAGCATTACAATGCCACACTATCAACTAAGTCATCAAGCCTGACCATGCCACGCTATCGACCAAGTCATATAGCATGACAATGCCACACTATCGATCAAGTCATCAAGCCTGACCATGCCACGCCATCAACCAACTCATATAGCATGACAATGCCACACTATCGACCAAGTCATCAAGCCTGACCATGCCACGCTATCAACCAAGTCATATAGCATGACCATGCCACACTATCGACCAAGTCATATAGCATGACAATGCCACACTATCGACAAGTCATCAAGCCTGACCACGCCACACTATTTACCAAGTCATATAGCATGACCATGCCACACTATCAACCAAGTCATCAAGCCTGACCACACCACACTATCGACCAAGTCATCAAGCCTGACCATGCCACACTATCGACCAATCATTCAAGCAGGACCACCAGATCCCTGCAGTAAGTGCCAGTCAGTGAGGACATGTGCAACCAAAAGGTCAGTGTACGGGAACGTATCGTCTTGTCATCTTGACATGCTGACAGTGATGTGTATTCGGCTTATTTTTCTGTCTACAATAAAATCAATGGAATGACTAAACCTGACCTTTGTTGTTGAAACAGTGATTGAAAATCTTTGATGAAAGCAAATTATTTTTGTCCAATGAAATTTGAACAATATGGACGTGCTCTTAGAATAGAATAGAATAATACTTTAATGCCTTTTCAGGAATTCGTATTACATCAGCAGAGCTACTGACACATTAGAGAGATACCAAACATATTTACATAAATTCTTTGATTTAGGTATCTTCACTTTTGTTTAAGAGAGATATGGTACTTGCAATAAAGGATGTACGGGCTCTCATAGTTTTCACAATTGGAACTT